ACAGACTCACACATTATAGATACTTGATATATTAGAGTGGTAGCATTGAAAATCAAGGGAAAAAGAATGGAAAAAGAAAATAAAATTGGTTTCCCACCTTACTCCTTACATAGAAAACTTATGTGTAAATCCTTTTTTTAAATATTTATTTATTTTGAGAGAGAGGCAGAGAGAGAGGGAGAGAGACAGAATCCCAAGCAGGGTCTGTGCTGTCAGTGAAGAGCCTGACGAGGGGCTCTATCTCATGAACTTTGAGATCACGACCTGAGCCAAAATCAAAAGTCAGACCCTCATCTGTCTAAGCCACCTAGGCACTCCCAAAACTTACATGTAAATCTAAAATTTTAACTTATGTAGAAGAAAAAAAGTAACAGATCATCTTCAAGCCTTTAAATCAGGGAAGGGTTTTTGTTTTGTTTTGTTTTTTTGAGAGAGAGAGCAAGCAAGTAGGGGAGGGGGGGGAGCAGGGAATCCCAAGCAGGCTCTGCACTGTCAGCACAGAGCCCAACACGGGGCTTGATCTCACAAACCATGAGATCATGACCTGAGCCAAAATCAAGAGTTGAATGCTTAAGCGACTGAGCCACCCAGGCACCCCAGGGAAGGAGTTTTAAAATAAAATATGAGAAGCATTAACTACCGAAGACAAGGTTGATGCATTTGACCATATTTAAAATTGAGAACTCTGTTGAAAGACATCACAAAGTGAGTGAAACAACAAGCCATGAACTGAGAGAAGATATTTATAAAACAAATAACTGAAAAAGATTAGTATTCAAAATATATAAGAAACTCCTACAAGTCCATTTTAAAAAGATTTTTAAGAAAGTAGGCAAGAGGGGCGCCTGGGTGGCTCAGTCGGTTAAGCATCCGACTTCGGCTCAGGTCACAATCTCACGGTCCGTGAGTTTGAGCCCCGCGTCGGGCTCTGGGCTGATGGCTCAGAGCCTGGAGCCTGCTTCCGATTCTGTGTCTCCTTCTCTCTCTTCCCCTCCCCCATTCATGCTCTGTCTCTCTCTGTCTCAAAAATAAATAAAAACGTTAAAAAAAAATTAAAAAAAAAGAAAAAAAAGAAAGTAGGCAAGAGACACAAACAGGTATTTCACGAAGGGGAAAGAAAAATACACGGCCAAGAAACATATGAAAAAATGAACAACCTCATTGGTAATCAGGAAAACAAATTAAGATCATAATGATGCATCCTTTTATATCCACCTGATTCTCCCCAAATAAAATAACTGGTAGTACCAAGTGTTGCTAATAAGGTAGATCAGTTGGAACTCTTTAAGTCCTACTGGAGAGAGCATTCATTGATTTTTTTTTTTATTAAAAAAAAATTTTTTTTAATGTTTATTTATTTCTGAGACAGCGAGAGACAGACAGAGCATGAGTTGGGGAGGGGCAGACAGAGAGGGAGACACAGAATCTGAAACAGGCTCCAGGCTCTGAGCTGTCAGCACTGAGCCCGAGGCGGGGCTCGAACTCACAAACCATGAGGTCATGACCTGAGCCGAAGTGGGTCGCTCAACCGACTGAGCCACCCAGGCGCCCTGAAGATTTTGTCTTTTAAGCTTTTATTTTTTGGTAATCTCTACACCCAACGTGGGGCTCGAATGTACAACCCCAAGATCAAGAGTTGCATGCTCTACCAACTGAGCCACCCAGGCGTCCTGAGCATTCATTGATTTAACCACTTTGGAAGACTAGCGCTATTTGTAAAGTTGAATATTCACACAGTCTATGCTCTAGCTGTTCCACTTGCAGGCCAAAACATACACAAGAATATTTATAGTTTATAGTCTCTCACTCCCCTAAAAAAGACTGGAAACATCCCAAATATCTGTTGAAAGAAAATGAATACATAGATTATGGCATGGTCACATGATGGGATACTAGGCAGCGTTGCTAATGAAAGAACTGCAGATACACGTAACTACATCCATTTTAGGAATGTCCTATCAAGTGAAAAGAGCAAGTTGTAGAAAATTACATTATAATGTCATCTGCAAAAAAAGTTAAAATCAGGTTGAGCTAAACAATATGTTGTTTAGGGATTATAAATATACATTTTTTTAAGAAAACAAAGCAATACCAGTCAAAATTCAGTGGTTATCCTTGGGTATGGGAGAAGACAGAGTACACACATTGTCGAGATGGTATAGGCAGTGTTTGAGGATTTTTAAAAAATATATGTCAACATACTTTTTAAAATTGTGGTTAAAATACAGGAAACATAAAATTTACCTAAGTCCTTTAAGTGTGCATCTCAGTGGCATTAATGTACATCCATCCTCCACCATCCATCTCTAGAACTGTTTTCCTGTTGTAAAACCAAAATTCTGTACCCATTAAATAATAACTTATGCCCCCATCCCACCCCTGAAAACCACCATTCTACTTATATTTAAGAATTTTAGTTTTGGGGGCGCCTGGGTAGCTCAGTCGGTTAAGTGTCTGACTTCAGCTCAGGTCATGATCTCACACTCCATGAGTTTGAGCCCCGCGTCCGGCTCTGTGCTGACAGCTCGGAGCCTGGAGCCTGCTTTGGATTCTGTGTCTCCCCCTCTCTTTGCCCCTCCCCTGCTCATGCTCTGTCTCTCTCTGTCTCAGAAATAAATAAAAACATTTAAAAAAACTAAAAAAAAAAAGAATTTTAGTTTTTAATTTGGGAGATGAGTTCATGCATGTTCATTTTGTCATGCTTCATAATTGCATATATATATATATATTTAGACATGCTTTATCATGTCTGTGTTGTAGCATGGTAGTTTCATATATACATACATATACACACACACATATATATATAACACGCAACATATATTCTTTTGTATGTATACAATAGTACATGCCTTATTTTTTAATGGCTTGATGCCTGGAAAAATAAAGAACGACAATATCCAAAATTGGCCACATCATGATAAATGATATCATGGTAAGTGATAACAAGCATGTAAATTGGTACAATTTTTAGGACAGTTTAAACTTAACACAAATAGGGGTGCCTGGGTGGCTCAGTCAGTTAAGCGTCCGACTTTGGCTCAGGTCATGATCTTGCGGTCCATGAGTTCAAGCCCCATGTCAGGCTCTGTGCTGACAGCTCAGAGCCTGGAGCCCGTTTCAGATTCTGTGTCTCCCTCTCTCTCTGCCCCTCCCCTGTTCATGCTCTGTCTCTCTGTGTCTCAAAAATAAATAAACATTAAAAAAAATTTTTTTTAACTTAACACAAATAAAATTGACAAATATATTATGGCTTTTGGGAGTTATGGTGTTTCAATTTTGGTTTCTAATTATTCATTGCTAGTATATAGAAACAAGATTCATTTTTGCGTGTTGACCTTACATCCTTGCTAAATTCACTTATTGACTCTTGGGTTTTTTTGGTCATTGTTGATTATTTGGATTTTCTGTGTGGACAATGATGTCTTCTGTGAATAGGAGCAGTTTTCTCTCTTTCTAGTCTGTATGTTATTAAACTTTCTCTTACCTTATTGCACTGCCTAGAACTTTGACTATAATATTAAATAGGAGTTGTGAGAGTGGACATCCTTGCCTTGTTTCTGATCTTAGAAAGAAAGCAGTCTTTCACCTTAAAGTATGATGTTAAGTGCAGGCTCTTGTGGATATTCTTTAGCAAGTTGAAGAAGTTCCCTTCTATTCCTAGTTCTCTGAGAGTTTTTTTTTTTTTAAATTCAATGGCTGTTGAATTTTGTCAAATGCTTCTTGCATCAATAGATCTGATCATGTGGTTTCACTTTTTATATTGTTAATATGGTTGTTAAATAATGATTAATTTTCAAACATTAAAAGAGCTTTGCATCCCGGGTTTAAATTCTATTTGGTAATTATTAATCTTTTTATTCATTGCTGGATTTGATTTGTTAATATTTTGTTACAGATTTTGCATCTGTGTTTGTGAGGGATACTGGTCTGTAGTTTTCTTGTACTCTCTTTGTCTGATTTTGGTATTGATGTATCTTTTTGGATGGCAATATGTCAAATGTAACAAATGTCTTAAGAAAATGAGTTTGCCCAGAGATCCTAAGAACTTATCTTAAGGAAACAGAGATTCTCATGACACACAGACTTTAGATTCAGATAGTTGGTAGATTTGAACACGAATGAGTCCCCTTACCAACTGCTTGAATTTTGTGGCCGTTTTCTATCCTGTAAAATGCGGATAAGAGGACCTACCTCACAGAGTGCAGTAGATAATTCACACACAGTGCCCAACACATAGTAAACTTGAAGTCCAATAATAGCTCTTGGTATTATGTTTTACTCTCTAGCCTATCTGGAAGGACATCATCTTTGCTCCCATATAAAGCTCCCACTTTGAACCTCCTTACTGGTGAGTATTCGTCTCTTCATCCCTGATCCCTGCCTCACAATAAGTGTGTGAGGCGATGGGAATGCAAAGGTAAAAAAGGTATGGTCCCTGCTCTCAGGGAGCTGAATCTATTAGACACAGGTGCAAACGAACCAGTTTTATGCAGTGTAACAGCATTATAATAGAGCGTCTGCCGTAGGTGTAGCGGGTCCCGGACGCGCACTCTCAGCGCGAGTCAGAACAGCTGGTGGTCACTGGAGCTTAGGGATCAAGAGGGAGGGCGGGTGGCAACTTTCACAGCACAGCCTCGGGTCGTTGGGGGGAGTGGGAGCGCCGAGACCAGCTGTTTCCATAGCAACAGAACTAGCCACCCTCGCGGGGCCTCCCAGCTCACCTCTGTCCAACTTCGTAGGAGCTGCGAACGGCCACTTCCGTTCCTCCAGCCTCGGAGGCTCGCGGACGCTCCGCCGTAAATGAGCAACTCGAGTTCCTAGTCTCTGATTGGTTCAGGCAGATGGAAGGGGTGGGCTGTGGCACGGAGGGGCGTGGCCTGCGGACCGTGAAGCCCGAGTTTTCCTCGCGGAGCGGAAGCCGACTTCACCCGCCCCGGAAGTGCAACGACCGAGGTTGTACAGGTGCGGATTTCGCCGGCGAGGCGGCTCTTTTCGAGATGCCGGGAGCCGCAGCCAATGGCTCGGAGTTGTACGAGAGCATCGAGAGTTTCGTGGAGGCCCTGAAGCGGGGCGGCGGGCGGCGCAGCTCCGAGGACATGGCTCGGGAGACCCTGGGGCTGCTGCGCCGGATCATTACGGACCACCGCTGGAGCAATGCAGGTGAGGCAGGTCTATTCTGTCGCGTCCCTCGTCACTATCCGTTCCCGATCCCCAGGTGGAAAGTCGCCCAGGTCTCATCGTGCTCGTGCCCTCTCACGCTCTGTTCCTCGGACTGCAGGGGAGCTGATGGAACTGATTCGCCGAGAGGGCCAGAGGATGACAGCCGCGCAGCCCTCAGAGACCACGGTGGGCAACATGGTGCGGAGAGTGCTCAGGATCATCCGGGAGGAGTATGGCAGGTCAGGACGTGGGCCTTTTTGCACGAGCTCCGCCCTTTGCTTGGAGCCTTTAGTGGTGAGCAGGCCCTGTTGCTTCAAAGAGTACACCTCAGCCCACCTCCCTCTTTGCGTCTTGTTGCCTCCGTAGACTCCATGGACGCAGCGATGAGAGCGATCAGCAGGAGTCCTTGCACAAACTCTTGACATCCGAAGGCCTGAGCGAGGATTTCAGCTTCCATTACGCCCAACTCCAGTCCAACATCATCGAGGCAATTAGTGAGCTGCTTGTGGAACTGGGTAAGAGTCCTGATCCCGGGTGTCAGGACAGGTTACAGGCAGATGAAGGAAGAGAAGACCCTGAAAGTTGTTCATCAGCAGAGATGGGAGATCGCCAGTTATGCTGTTCTCAGCTTTGTCCTCCATCCTGACTAAGAGGAAGGTTTGGAGCAGGAGTAAGATAACCCTCGCTACATTTCTTTACAGACCAGCCCTTTATAGATTGCTGCAGAAGCTGTTAGGACAGAGCTTTATTTTCGTTTTAAAGATGAACTCCCTAAAACCACAGGTGGTAGACTTCACTAAACTTCTTGAATTTTTATGCACACACGCGCCACCTCCATTCCCCTTGTCTTTGTGACCTGAGAGATCTGCAGATATTCATTACAATCAGAATTCCCCAAGGAAGGAAGAAGCTGGGTCTGTGTATCTGGAGCTGCTGCTTCCAAATTCCTCCCCTTTTTTCTTCTGTGGCCTCCTCAGGTGGAGGTGTTGTGGCCACCTTTTGGAGGAGGAGTCCCTTTAGGGGGAAAACTGTTTACCCCACGCTCAGCATTTTATGATTTCCCCAATTGGACCTTTTTTTTTTTTTTTTTGCCTGAATTCAGTGTCTTCAAAATCAATTGTAAGGAGCTGGTGTTGTGGCCGGGCAGGGTTGGGGGGTTAAGTGGGTGAGTTGGGGGTTCTACTGGGAAAGAGGGTAGACTGAGAACTTAGGAGGTAGAAGATCCCAGAGGAATGGGGCTTTGAAGAAGAAGTGACCTTCATATTAAGTCCATTTACCCTGTGTTACCAGGGTCCACTAGGTGGGCACCTGTCTCTTTCATGTTGTAGCACGGTGGTTTCATATTTTCCTTGCAAAACTGACTGTTCTTGCAGAAGGGACAACAGAGAACATTGCAGCCCAGGCTCTGGAGCACATCCACTCCAATGAGGTGATCATGACCATTGGCTTCTCCCGAACAGTAGAAGCCTTCCTCAAAGAGGCGGCCCGAAAGAGGAAATTCCATGTCATTGTGGCAGAATGTGCTCCTTTCTGTCAGGTAGGGGGGGGGCTTCTGGAGTTGCTAAGAAAAATGAAAACTGAGGAGGGAATCAAGAAGTGATAGATGGGCTCCGTGCTATCTTTGAATTGATAAGCAAGACGTTGAGAAGATAAAGTAAAATAAAACATTAAGGGAATTTTCAAGTTGTTCATCCTGTCAACACTCTTCAACATTGGTTTGGGAGGCTTAGGTGAAATGCTGGGTTCAAGAAAAGAAATATATTGGTTCTTTTGGGAATCAAAATAGGGTAAATTACCTTGGGGATGACTGATGCTTGGCCTGACCGCACTCCATCCCTACGTGAATAATAGGTCTTTCAGAAGGAACTAGGTAAGGATGCAGGATGTTGTAAAGGAACGAGCCAGGACCTATCCTGTCAGCTCTGCCCAATTATACACGCGAGCAGTATTTCCAGTTTTGTGGCTGCTCTAATGCTCCTGTGGAGAATTCAACATTTATTAGCTTCTCCTGGGCTTCCCTGCAATGTACCAGAGAATACCGACCACGGGAAGAAAAAGGAGTTATCTGGAGGCAGTTGTGTGTCGGCTGTGCTCAGTATAACAGAATTCTCCAGATCCAGTTCCGTTGGAGATGCCTCCCACTCTCTCTCACTCTCTCTCATAATGTCAGCCTTTCTGTCCTATTGCAGGGTCACGAAATGGCAGTCAATTTGTCCAAAGCAGGTATTGAGACAACTGTCATGACTGATGCCGCCATTTTTGCTGTTATGTCAAGAGTCAACAAGGTGGGTATATTTGGACTTATATTAAATTCATGAAGACTGTACTTCTAAAATACTGATTTTTCCCCCCTCCCTCCTATAATATCTATGAGGAAAGAAAGTTTCTAACACCTTTTGAAAGTACATATTTGGGCCTTTTTAATATATTAACTGAATTTCTTTTTCTTCTATCTGTATCATTGTTCCTCACTTAGAGTAGCTTCTTTTTGTTGTGTTTGTTTGTTTTAAAGATTTTATTTATTTTAATTTTTTTTAATGTTTTTATTTATTTTTGAGACAGAGACAGAGCATGAGCAGGGGTGGGGCAGAGAGAGAGAGGGAGACATAGAATCTAAAGCAGGCTCCAGGCTCTGAGCTGTCAGCACAGAGCCCGACGCAGGGCTTGAACTCATGGACTGTGAGATTATGACCTGAACTGAAGTCGGACGCTCAACCGACTGAGCCACCCAGGCGTCCCAAAAGATTTTATTTTTTAAAGCAGTCTCTACACCCAGTTTGGGGCTCGAACTCACAACCCCAAGATCAAGAGTCATGATCTACATGCTCTACAACTGAGCCAGCCGGACACCTCAGAGTAGTTTCTTTTTGGTGAAAGCATTGAAGAGAATGAAATAGGGCTAAGCTAAGCGTGGCAGCTGCTAGGGATTGGGTAGAGGGTCCCTGCTTTCTGAGCAGAGAGCTTGGCAGTGGTGGATGATGAATAGAAAGGCTTCTGGCTTCTCAGGAGCTGTGACATAGAGATCCTAGAAGACAGGGCTAAGAGCAGGAGGTGGTACAGCTTCCGGTCACAGACTATATTCATTCTTTGGGAAGCCACTTTTGAGCTAGAACTCATGGTCCTTAGTCTAGAATCCCTTTTCCTTTATGGCTGTGTGACCCTCACGATGTCAAGAGGGAGGCCTGGGCATTCAGCCTATTGTGCCCAATGGCCCATTTAAGGTTGTATCTCTAGGATGACTCACATTTTGCTTCCTGTTCCAAAGGTGATCATTGGCACAAAGACCATCCTGGCCAATGGTGCCCTGAGAGCCGTGACAGGAACTCACACTCTAGCACTGGCAGCAAAACACCATTCCACCCCGCTCATCGTTTGTGCTCCCATGTTCAAGCTTTCCCCACAGGTACGTCTGTCTGTCTGTAGCCAACAGAAAGAAGGAAGCCAAAGTGTAGGCTTGATCTCCAGGCCTTCAACCTGCTCACTCTGGGGCTTCTCTTTATCTGTGTTTACTAAATGGATTAGACCCAGTAGAGGCTGGAAAAAGCCACAAAAGTCTTGAACCAGGAAAAAAATTGATAGTTTTTTTTTTTTAATTCTTTTTTTAATGTTCATTTATTTTGAGAGAGAGAGCACGTGTGCGAGCAGGGGAGGGGCAGAGAGAGAGGGAGAGAGAATCCCAGGCTGAAAGTGCAGAGCCAGATGTGGGGCTCAAACTCACCAACTGTGAGATCGTGACCTGAGCTGAAATCAAGAATCGGACACTCAACCGACTGAGTCCCCCAGGCGCCCCTCAAAAATTGATAGTATAACTTGTCAGCTTTGAAAAGTCAAAATTGTAAGGTCAGGGTAGTACATAGTTGGGGAAGGCCCTTTGTTTCCACTGCCACCATTCCCCATCACCCTGACTATTTCTGAAAATGCCAAACAAGTTGAAACTAGGAACATAGAATCGGTTTTATTTGTCATAGTTGGAGGGACGTTCCTCTGTAGCTTGAATACAAACAGTATTACAAAATGAAGAGTTATTTCATTAGCAATAGAAGCTATTTGTAGGTCTCTTTTTTAAATTGAGGTGAATTTCACATAACATACAATTAGCCAGTTTTAAATGTACAGTTCAGGGACACTTACTACATTCACAACATTGTGCAACTACCACTCTCTGGTTTCAGACCTTCATCATCCCGGCAAAACACTCTGTACCCGTTACATAATCACTCCCTGTTGCCTCCTCTCCCCATCTCCTAGGAATCACTAATCTGTTTTCTGTCTCTGTGGCTTTGCCTGTTTTGGATATTTCATATAAAAGAAATCATACAATGTGTGCCTTTTGTTTTTGACATCTTTCACTTCGCATGATGTTTTCAAGGTTCCTAGCTATAGCACAGCTCTTTGTTTCCTTCTGTGGCTGAATGATACTCTCTTGCATGGATATACCACAGTTTATTTATCCATTCACCCCTTGGGTAGTTGGGTTGTTCAGCCTTTGGTTTTAGTGAATAATGGTCCTGGAAGCATTTGTGTGCAAGCTTCTTTGTGGACATAAGATTTTTATTTCCCTTGGGTATGTACCTAGAGGTGGAATTTGCTAGGTCTGTCTCACTCTTTTTTTTTTTTTTCCTTATCTAGTTCCCCAATGAAGAAGATTCATTTCACAAGTTTGTGGCCCCTGAAGAAGTTCTGCCTTTCACAGAAGGTACAGAAGGGTGTGTGTGTGTGTGTGTGTGTGTGTGTGTGTGTGTGTGTGTGTGTACGTGCACATGTGTGTTTGGGTCCTTTTGCTTTTGTTTTGGTAGTCAGTCAGGGGTGAATGCTGCCAGGTTGTGTTTTTTATCATACTTCTTGTGGAGACTTCTCTTTAGTGTCTTAGAGTGCATGGGGACCTGATCATTTTGTTCTGGGACTAATATATTCAACGGAGTATTGGGGTCATGGTGGGTTGGATCACCCAGCATTGACTTAGTTTGGCTTTGCACGTTGCTTGACAGAGGCAACAACCGAATGGGAAAACAGACTTGTTTTTCAGTTGCTGTAGGGAGTCATTTTGGTGACGTGAATGGCAAAGGAAGTAGGCTCCAAAATGTTCCTACTATAAAACTTGCCTGTAATCTTTGTGCATTGGGGTCCTTTTCTGTGACTTCTGAATGTAGCAGCTGTGGTCAGTGAGCCTGCCACCTTATCAACATCACATGGCCTTAAACACCATCTGAGAGCAAAGCAAGTGCTTGGGCTACAGTTCTTCTTAGAAGTTGAATAACTTCATTTATTCACACATTTGTTCTTTCAAGAATTATTTTATGTATGTATCCACTATGTATCCAGCACTACGCTAGCAACTAGGGATGTAAAAATGAACAACAAATAGGTCCTGCTCCCACAGAGCTTACGTTCTGTTGCAGAAGATAGACAAGGAAATGTCAGGTCATGAGATGTTTTGGGAAGAGAACAAAGAAGGATGATGTGATTGGAAGATGGTTGGAGACTATGTTAGTTTGGGGAGGGTCTTAATGAGGGGACATTTCAGCTGAGTCCAGAATGAATAGACCCCACCGTGTGAAGATCAAGGAAAGAGTCTTCCAGGCATTGGTGCAAAGGGCCTGAGTTAGGTCCCTGCTTAGCCAGTTGGAACCAGATGGCCATTATAGCTGGAGAGGAACGAGCACGAGGGAGAGTGGGGTGAATTATAATTAGTGTAGTGCAGCAGGGAGGGGCTAGATCTTGAGGGCTGCTATCCCAAGCTGGAATACTGTTCTAAGGGCTATGCAAAGGCATTGGAGTGTTTTAAGCAGGGAGTGGTATGGTCTGAAGTCCTCTCTTCTGGTTTGCACTCTGCTGCAGCTTCCCGAGGGGTAGCGAGTATGCCTGCATTATTGAGCCTAGAATCTATATGCTACCTGGTTATTAGAGCAGGATCCTCAGTTTTATCTTTAGCATGTGTGATTGATTGCCTTTCAGGGGACATTCTGGAGAAGGTCAGCGTTCACTGCCCCGTGTTTGACTACGTCCCCCCAGAGCTCATTACCCTCTTTATCTCCAACATTGGTGGGAATGCGCCTTCCTACATCTACCGCTTGATGAGTGAACTCTACCATCCTGATGATCATGTCCTATGACCACCATTCATTCTAAGCAGAAGCTGCTTAGCCAGATACGGAATGGAGAGGGACTTCAGTGCGACTGCTGAAAATCAAGTCCTTGTAATGGGGAGTGAACTGGAGCCAACCTAAAAAACTTAATACTGTTTCCTGCCTTTTTAGGCATCCCATAACAAGGACACACATTCAGGTCTGTCTCTTGCCTTTCTGATCTTAACAGCAGCAGCGGGCCTTCACCTATTAATTTTGTAGCCTCTTGGGGCGCCTGGCTGGCCGTCGGTAGAGCGTGCGACTCTTGCTGCTGGGGTTATGAGCTCTGTTCCCACGCTGGGCACAGAGTTTACTGTAAAAATTTGTTCTTTGGAACCTCTTAGAGACCTGGGGAGTCTGTTTTAGGAACTTAAACTTTCTGGTTCAGTGGGGCGTTAAACATAACACTGAAGACCTTGATGGGATATAGGTTTTTGCCCAGAAATGGCTACCACACCTTTTCCTGGGCTGTGCCAATAAAAGCTGCTTGAAGATTCCTGAGTTGGTTTATTTATTGTTCTGCTCTGAACTGCCTGAAACAGCAGCAGCAGCAGAGCCCTTTTTGTGCTTTGATAGAGGGCTGTAATTAGAGGGAACCGGCTAAGACAGAAATGCAAATGAAAGTATTTACAGTTTCCTTACTAATTCACTGGCAGTGGTCCCAAACAACTTGTTAGTAATCTAAGAGAGTGGCTCCAAAACCTCTCCGAATCATCGGGGAGCTTAAGAAAATGTACCATCTTGGGTTCTATCCCGGGCCTACTACATCTGATCTCCGGGATGGCACCTGGGAATCCGCTTAAAGCTTCCCAGAAAAGGACCCTCTCGTGTACTGTTAATAGGATTGTACGCTGGTACCTTTCGAGAGCAATTTTGAACGTGCATTTCTCAAATTATTTGTACAAGCACACGGAGATATAGAGAAGAATACCTATCACTGTAGCAGCTGTAATGTCACAGCCTAAGTGTCCAGCAATAGCATTTTGTATTCTGTTAATTAAAAACAAGGAAGGTTTTTAAACATGACATACTGTGGAACATTATGTATACACTGCAGTAGAAGTTTCAAAAGAGTGGCTTAAGGGCAGTGTTTGGGTTAAGGACATTTTGGCTGGCTCACCCTGTATTTAATTTGAATTAGTTACCAATAATTAAAAATGTGAAAATAGGGGCTCCTGGGTGGCTCAGTCGGTTAAGTGGCCAACTTAGGCTCAGGGCACGATCTTGCCGTTGGTGACTTCGAGCCCCACATCAGGCTCTGTGCTGACAGCTCAGAGCCTGGAACCTGCTTCAGATTTTGTGTTTCCCTCTCTCTCTGCCCCTCCCCTGCTCATACTCTGTCTCTCAACAATAAATAAATGTTAAAAAATTTTAAAAAAATAAATAAAAATGTGAAAATAGAATAATAAAAATGTGAAGATCACATACTAAAATTCAGAGTTCTTGCTTCTCTTGGAAACTCCGCAGCTTTGGCAATTTTGCGCCCATGTTCCCAAATGGCAGCAGTTGGCTACACTTGAGCAGCTTCTGACTCCATTAAATGGAAAACCTCCTTTTCTGCAGTTCCTCCCCGTCCGTGTAACTCATGTTATCTGCCTGACCCCTAGAGGCATTTGATCCGTGAGCCTTGTGTTAAAAGAATGGGACAGATTCGGAAGGAAGTCCATTTAATGTTGTTAATTAAAGACAAGCTGGGGAAAAGTCAAGCTGCTGAGCAGTATGCATATGACCTTTTACTTCATTAAAACAAAACAATATGTACATGCAATAGGATAAAAGTCTGGAAGAATACTACCAAATAGTGGCAAGCTGGAGGATATCTTCTAATTTTTAGTAGGTTCATATATTATTTCCATTTTTTATGTGTCCTACTTTAGTACTTACCTTTTCAGAAAGTCTCCCCAGGTAATCCAGATGATCCGCCATGTTTGGGAACCACTGGCCCAGAGCAGAGGTCCCGGGCAGACTTGAGCATACCGCGGAACCCCCCGAGATGCTGGTCCCAGGCCAGCTTCCTGTTTCCTGCGGCACTGTCTGTGGGGTGGAGGGAGGGAGCACCAGGAGTCTTCATGTTTAACAAGCACCCTAAGGGATCTGAACAGGTGATTTGATAACCACACTTTGGTAAACACTGGCCAGAGGTAGGTTATGAGGGGAAGGCCTCTGCATCAACTTGAGATAGATCTTTGCCTTAGGGCTCTTGTCTTCCCTGAAAGAGGGAGAAAACAAGATTGAAGAGGTTTAGTCTGAAAGACCGGCCTAAAAGCTCTGACTCAGAAGAGGCTGACTCACTCAGGCCTCAGTCTGTCAATTCTTTTCCTTAAAGCATCTAAGGTCCCGCGCTTTCTCAGTGAAGTGGCTTATAGCTACCAATTACGAGCAATTGTCTCCTCTGAAGGCACCAATTCTAACAGCAATCCACTTGGGTACATACAACTGTGTGGTCTGGAGTAAAAGGAGTGAGTCAAGGAACTTAAATCTGTTTCTGGTCTAAAAATGCTTTATGATACTTGTCCTTTGTGCGTCCTAGTCTCTGGCTCTAAAATTAGCACCCACATTCTTCCCAGGCATAAGTGAGATGGATGAAGGTTCCAAGGGTAGTTTTGGTCAATTTTTAAAGTGCCTGGGACAGAAGAACTGCACCAATGCATGCTCTTCGGGCTCTTTAGGACCTCAATTAAGCAAGTCCCACAAAGCTATTTATATGCCTCATTTTTCTATTTCTCTCTCTCCTCTCTTCGACTGGAGGAGGAGTAAATATTGGAAAGGGGAGAACCTTATCTGAACAGGGAGAGACAAGCCCCATGTCAACTTCCTACCTCTCGGCCTTTGTCTGCCTTTGCCAGCAGGACCCGGAAGCTAAGGACAAAAACTTGTAGCTGTAGCTTGAAAAGAATTAATAGAAAGAGGATTCCATGGATGTGAAAGTCCTCCTGAATATGCCAAATAAACCAAGTTAGATAACTTACTCAATACGGTTTGTAAAGACACTTTTCCCACGGTTTATATCTTCCAATTTAGGCGGAGGGCAGGAGAGGCACAATTCTTGGAACTCAAATCAGGAACAGAAATTCCTAATTTAGCCTCAGAAGTCTCTGAAAAACACTCCACCAAGGAAAACTTAAGTGTAAAGTGATACCTCAAAGAAATAAATGCGGGTATGGGTAGGATCATACGTTTCACAGATGTGCTTCACAACCATTTCTCAAGGCAATCTGTTGGCTCAGTCTCTGGGTTAACGAAGGCTGCCAGTCCTGTGGCTCCATCATCGGGCTACGTGATTCTATAACATATGTAGAACTCAGGACATCAGAACTGTTTTTGCTATGTGGTACCAGATGGTGACGTAATTATCGTAAAGGCCCCATACTATCCACCTGTCCTCGCAAAAACTCCCTCTGCAGACATGCACCTAGTTGACACAAAGGACCTATTCTGAAATGTGGTTTGGAAGTGTTTTCTATCTGGCCTACTTTGCTTTGAATTATTCTTTCATTCACCCAACAGCTGTTCCAGGTTATTGTGCAATGGCTAAGCAATTATTATTAATAAAGAGCTTATAGTCTAAGCTTTCAGTCTTCTGCACAACACTCACACAATGGAGGGCAGCCTTTGAGCCTAACCACACTGGCAACAGTGATTGCTTGATGTTTATATTAAATACCAAGCTAAAGAGGAGACTTTCAGTAGTGTTTTTTCAGGCATGTTACATTTAGAATTAAGACCTGCCTAGAGAAGAAGGAAGCTGCTTAAAAGCTTGACAAGATTCCTAAAATTTGTAACTTCTATGCAAAACTCTGCAGTTTACTATAAAAGAGAGGTGATAAAATACCTTGAATAATAACGATACACTAATATAGCAGTAGCTAACTCCAACTCCAAACCATCTTTTTTTTTTTTTTTTTTGGCCAGGGTAGGGGTGGGTGGCAACCACCACTGCATATGCCTTACTTTTGTGGTAAATAAGAACAAGTTGTTTAGTCAGGCAAGTTGTGAGGGTGAAGTCAGGCCAAATTAGCTTCTTCAGATTGCTACCTGGGGCACGCTGGCTTACGGGCTCCAGTAAGCTCCATAGATTCAGGTATGTAAGATGCTTGGATCCTCCAGATTTTGATCAGGTTGCCTGAACTTTATGTTTCAACGCACAGGGTGCTCTCTGACAAATGGGCACGGGATGACAATGACCCAAGGGTCTGAAAGATCCTAAGCCATAGGATAGCCTCTTTTTTTCTTTATATGCCTGCAACTTCTGATACATTTAGAAGGGACACATACATGGAGTTACTGAGTGATGAATAAATGGAGAAAGAGAAGCAAGGGTTTGTTTGGTGAGATTATCTAGATTTTTGGTTTCCCAGACGTCCTTCTTTTCTGAGTCCACCTTGTTGCTATCTCAGTGCTGATAAGCAACTTCAGTTGAGAAAATGTGACAAGGCAGGACAGGTAACAGCAAACGCAGCAGTCAGTTCTCCTTGGTAGCCTGCTTTCGTAAAGGTTCTGATGGAACCGGGTGGCACTTCAGATGGAAAACAGGTAGAACGAGTCTGACTCTTTGTGCCAGAAACTGCTCTTCCCTTCATTTGGACTTGCTACCACTGGCTCCCACTTAAAGCTTCATCCAAGCACAGTTGTCCGCGCTCTCTAGGAGCTGACCACTGCATCTGTTCTCGCTTGGCATGGCTCCTCAGGCCCCTACACATCTCTAGAACTTGGTCTTGGGCCCCCTCCTGCTCTGCCCCTGTGTTGGCTGCCTTGTTTTTTTCCACTGTTAGGTTCAGATCCCATCTGTTCATTTGTGTCTGACCTTTTCTTTGCCTCACTCTGATGTCTGAGTGCTTGAACCTCTCCATTCTCAGCTGCTCATGGGGTTCCAGATCACCAGCTAGGTTCTGGACCTTTCCCTAGCCCTCTCCCGTCTCTTCCCTCCCTTCTAGCCTACACTCTAAGCTTTGCTTTAAGCTTTTCTGCGTCTAGCCCCTATTATCATC